TGCTTCGATTTCAGCTCTGAGAATTGAAATCAATGGTTCGACTGCCATGCGACAAACATTGCCCTCATACGGCAAAGCGAGTGGGCAAAAGCCGCCCTCTGCTGAGTAGACCAGGTCACTTGAAGGAATCCAAGAGGAAATCAGCGAACTACCAAGATGCCACCGTAAGTAATAAAGAAAGATGTCATATAAGCTGCTTGTGACGCGTGTACAGCGGAACAAAGGCGGACACGTGCGCAAAGTAGCAGGGAGAGCTGCACACGCTCGCAATGCACGCTGAGATGCATAAAGAGGAACCCCCCCCCCCCCCCCCAGGTTAGAGAACGCACACACACAGGTTAGATTCGTCATTCTGGCCGTAAATAAGTAGACTTGGGCAGGACCCCCCCCCCCCCCCCCCCCCCATCCATGGTCGAGACGAACCACAGAGTTGCAGTCAAAGGAGGGAGTGACCTCGTGAACCGCACAGGTGGAAGGATGAACTCAGCTCGTGGTGCACAGGAGCTGCGGTTGAAGGTTGCATAGCGACAACGTGAGAGAGGGCAATAGCTTGGGGAGGGGGGGGGGGTGGCGTTCAGCCAGCAGTGGATCGATCATGACTGCTTGCCGCTATTGCTGATGATGATATAGGCCTTTAGGGCGGTGCGTACATTCACTGTGTTGATGCGCGTCGCTTGGATACAGATGTGGCTGGTAACAGCTGGCAGTGTTGCAGCGGGGGTGATCCTTGGGGATGGTGGTGGTGGTGATGATGATGGTGCTGATGATGGTGATGATGGAGGGAGAGATGCTGGGGGTGGGGATGGAGCGAGAGGGGTTCGGGGGGGGGGACAGAATTCGCATGAATCTGAGCGGCTTGGCCGGGCGATGTGGCTTGGTGGTGAGAGGATATGCTGTTTTTAGCCGTGTGATGTCACCTTGTCAAATGCGCGCACAGAGACACACACGGGCCCCTTTGTGAGGGCCAACATTTGCCAATGCGCCGCACATGGAATCCACGCCTTCACCCAAATCAATCTCGAAATCTCCATCCACTTTGACCAAACATTCACGGACGCTAGCCACAACACTACCCCCCCCCCCCCTCCCTCCATTGCGACACAAACCTCTGTTGATTGTTACTCAAGTATAAGTGTTAGTGTGAGTGCTGCTACAACTCGAAACACATAATTACGCATATTTATTTTAACATTAATTTCTAGGAATTCATCACGCTGGAAGAGGTAAACGAGGTTAAGGAGCAGCCCTGCAATTGCGTGCGCCTGCCACCGATGGCGAAATGAACCCTCAACCACAGAGATGTACGGAGAGAGGCATTCTCGCGGGACTTTGGTCTACTCTTCCTCGCTGGTCAGATGTCTTTGCAAGGCGCGGTAGTACCCACACTTCACTCCACCACATAAGCTCCTGCTGATCGTCTTTCCGTGGTTGTACCCATATACACTGCTGGTTGGACAGCGGCAAGGTGACTTAGGAAATGTTGCACCGTGGTTTCAGCTGCCGCGCCGGGAAATCGAATCGAACCGACTACCTCTGTTATTTTTCAGGCTTGGTGTACTCACCGTCACACCACAGCAGAGTCCCATTGGTGCTGTGCAGCGCTCTCTCGTTATTCGCGAGGGGGATACGTTCGGGAAATGCTCGCGAACAGCACGTTTCGCGAATAATTATATTGGCCCGCGAAAACTTTTCAACGAATTGCCTCATCACTATCTCTCTCATCACTTTAGCTCATTACTTTCTCGCATTACATTCTCTCTCATCACCTTGTCTCTCATCACTTTATTTTTCTCTCTCTCTCTATCTCTCTCTCTGTCAATGTAGTCGTGTAGAGTTCCAGATGCGATTCGTTATTCACGAATTTGATAGCAAATTCACGAATATTCACGAATTTGCTATCAACGAGGGAATACCGTACTTGAAACATATATACCAAATGCATCGCATTGAAAGTAAATATGAATCAGAGATATAGCATTGACTGTTAAGATTGTACCGTATACGGGTGCTTGGGTTGGTGTGAATCGAATCACATTGGCACCCACGCTTTGTCCACGGGAGTAGAACCGTTGTAAATTTTCGCGGATGTGCTGTACAGCTCCCCCTTGTGTTATCGGGCTGTATCGCGCTCGTTCGTCATGATGTCCGACCTTTCGCTCTCCGTGCTGGGAGCTTATTTCAGGAACTGACGGAATGGAGAAGCTCCCAGCACGTGGGGTGCAATATTACTGACATCAATTCCATGCATTTACCCCCGGACAGCCTTACCGACTCTCAAGATGTTTCACAGATGATCCCTGCATTGGTAATTTTGGCCAATTCCTAAAATGTGTGTACGTATGTCGATCGTCTTTCGCTCTACGTGCTCAGCGGAGGTGTGAGGAACGGCAACAAACTAACACACAAAAAGCGGAGTACCTGAATAAACACAAATCACGCCTACGAGGGAATAACGCTCAAGTCTCCGTAAAGACTGCTTCATGAACCCACTCGATTATCTCCCGGTCATCTCGCAGCCCAACAGGTTTGCGAATGTTTTTTTTTTACAAATCCCTACATGATCCACCAACCCTTGCTTCCAAAGCGCTAGACCACAGGCGTGCACCATCACGCTCGGTTAAGGGATGCTAATAGTACTTTCATTTTATATAGCGGCATTCATGCCAACAGCATCCCACAACGCTGTACATTAATTATATGTACAGTATTCTATATAAGGACCGAATTCCATAAACACGATTGGCTACGCACAGTGCAAAAAGAAGCCCAACACACACACGTAGCACACGAAAACCCTGCTCCCAAGCAAAATCAACAATGAAGAAACAAATGAAGAAATGGCACCAAAACAAAAAAAGCACAAACAACAACAAAAACTACAAAGTTTTCAAAACAAGGAAACGAGTCTATTCGGTGATAGCGGCTGGACGAGGCTGGTGATGGACCGGCAGCTAAAGGAGAAGAGAGCATGTGCGCCGTGGAGGACGCTCGTCACGACACCGTGGGAAGAGGCCTCCGCATATCCAGCAGTGCACAGAACGTGGACATTAGAAGGTTCAGAGACTCTGTGAAGTCATGGGAGAGAGGTGCTAATGGTTTCTCTGGGATATTCACTCAACGAGCACTCCCCCCCCCCCCCCCCCCCCCCCCAGTACTGCAGACCCCCCCCCCCCAACTCCCCATTCTTCTCACGGCCCAACCCGCACCTCCCTCTCTCCCACCACCCAGCCGGCATGCACACCCGGTGAGTAACGGGTGGGCCCCCTAAAGTCAGATCTAATTCACCGCATCCATTATTTCAGTACCGAGGTCCCACGTGGTGAGATTAATTAGGACTTCGACGTCCTCTGAGGGGCGCCTCGATTTTAATTTTTCGTGGAATATTTCCACCCCTCCGCCCGACCAATAACCAGCCACCAGGACACCATCCATTCCCTCAACCTCCCACCGATAGCAAGACGGTGGGGGGAGGTGGGGGAGGGCATTTTCCAGAGCTTAGCATCGGACAGCTCCGGTGAAAAAACTAAAACTGTCCTTGAAAGCTGAAGGATGAGAGCGGTGAGCGATTGGCGGTGGGGCAGGAAATTCTCTAGCGGCATCTAGTGGACATCAGTCGCATGAACAATCTCGAGACGTATGAAATAAAACGCACGCAACTATTGCAACTACAAAAGAACAATAGGCTCTAACCCTTTCGGGCAATAAAGGGTGTAAAACATTTTCATACGCCAAATAGATACCTTATTGCAAGGCATCGAGTCTGCATTAAACCACACACACTTGTGGCAAAACATGCAAATTAACATGCTCTGATAATATACTTTGTCTTTGAAACTGATTGGCCTACAACCAGAGACTGCCTTTTTATGGCCTAGTCTCACCGGTGTTAGACCAGAGAACGCCAAAAGGCGAACAGTGCAAAGGCAATGCAAGCATCAAAGTATGATACTGGCAAAAAAGGTTCCATAGACAGAACACAATTATTATCACTGCTGAGGTTGTCGCGGTCGTGCCGGACAGCTCTCCGATGAGCGTTTAGGTTGTACCACACACCCTGTTCAGCATTTTATCTGACGTTTCGCTCCACGCGGTGAAACATGAAAACAGATTGGGGAGCTTCACAGTGGGGAATGGCCAGGAGACTGAGCTGGATTTGTCTGTCACCCCAAAGCGAAGATTCCTTTGTAAGTGAAAAATAACCACATCATCTCAGTTGGACGTGAGAAAGATCTACGAGGATACGTATTTCCATGAAGAAGCGCTTAAATACTTTTGACCTACATAAAAATTACGTGATCAACGGGGCAAATCATAAGTGACAAGGATATCAATGATTAGAACCTACAGAGTTGAACAGTATCCGACAAAGCACATTCACAATCCACAAAGGGTGCCAGACCCACACCCGATGAAACATTAACTCCCAGGAAGATAACAATACCCAGATACCAATACAAGGCCTGTCCCAGTCTGCTTACAAAAATTCACCTACCACCCACCGTCCAGGTTCTTCACCACGATCACGTTCCACATACGTTTCAGACAACACAAACACGTGTAAGAAGCACACAGCCTCTATCCATATGCAAAACACGAGCATTTCCCGAAGAAGTGAATGTGGTACTCTTAAGTCACCATCAAAATATATTTGAGCAAATGTGACCTTCTGACAGCAGCAGTGAGGATATGCCATTGTTTTTTGCATAATGCAAAGAGGTTGAATGCTTTTTACACACGATTGTGTTGCTTGAAACCCATGGTTTTACAGAATGCACAATTATGTTTGTCTTGTCTTTGACACATTTGAACTCGCTCCCATTCCCAGAGAGGTCCTACCGAAGAGGTTCCACAAAAACTTCCAGACTGTTCCCCAAAACTCCCAGACTTTTCCCCAAAACTCCCAGACTTTCCCCAAAAACTCCCAGACTTTCCCCAAAAACTCCCAGACTTTTCCCAGGACGGTGGGGGAAAAAAAGAGAGATTCGAGTGCAGCAGAGATCTGTGTAAAGTTTTATTATAGATTTTTTTTCCCGTCAAGAATCACTTTGCACGGCAGACGCATACGGGGGGGGGGGATAAAACGGTACAGCACAGACCAGTTATTAGAGACGCCGGCAAATAAAGACAAACTTCCTCTCAGGCTGTTATACGTTCACATGATTCCGTTGCAATGTTAACAAAAAAGAAGATACGCAACAAAACGATTGCCGACAGTCGTGGCGTGACCGATGTTAAAGGGAGGGGGGTTTTCAAAGCAAAAAGAAAGGTTGGCTGTTTTTGTTGTTGGGTGGCCAAATGTGGCTTGGTCTGTCGTGGATATGTTGTGTGTGCCACCCTGGAGGGTGTGGCACGTGTTGGCAATTAACTGTGGAAAACACCACTTTTCCGTGGGGGTGCGTTGAGGGTGTAAAACAATCACCCCCCTCCCCATCACTCCTTGAACTCAATAATAGCCTCATGAGGACAAGTCCTATAATTGTAAGCACCGACTATCAGGGATTCTGAAACTCTAGTCCTTACAAACCACCAAGGTGCAATGTTTACAAATCAAGTCGTTACATGTCACACTCACTGCAACTGGTAAATGTGGATCCCTTGCACCCTGGTGGGTAGCTCGGCCTGGTGACTACCTCAGTGGACTCACTACATCGCCTCTTAAAGCTCACGGAGCTTGCTTTCGGACTAAGGTTGGACAGTGGTTTAAAAATAAAAAAGATACTTAGGTTGAAATGTCACATTAAAAAACTGCACTTGTCAAAACTTGTTTTAAAAAGTGACCAAGGTACAGAAAACTGGGTACATGGAGCCTGATGTGGCTCCATTGACTGACACTTTCAACCAGGCTAGACATTATTCGTGAAAGCCAAAAGCATTCACGATTGAAACAAGGACGTTTGACACCGACCACATCCATAACAATCACTTGGCTACAAACACTAATTCGACTGCTGGTGTTGCATTGAGGTGAATGTGTTTTCTGACCGCGGTCGTTAACAAAAACAAACACTGCGGCCACTGAGATGGAGAGCCAGCACCCCCCCCCCCCCACACCTTAAGTGTTCTTCGAAGGAGCTAGGAAAACCGTCCCTAAAGTGGCCTTTCTCAAGGCCCCCTATTTTCCGCCTCTCGTTGCTTCGACTCCACGGGCCTCGGGCGAGACCAGGCGGGAGGGAGCGAGCGGCGTGCTCCCCCCCCCATCCTCGGGGCATCCACTCCAAGTCCTGCGGTGCTGACGATGCGTGCAGCGTGGAAGCGAGGAGCGGACCCTGCCCGTGCGCCACTTTTGAGGCTTCCCCGTTGTGCGAGGAGCATCCCGAAGAGTCTGGTCCACTCCCATCTGACCGCCGAGCCTGACCACGTTTTGCGGAACTCCAAGCCAAAAGCAGTGGCCGGTGAGCAATTCAACTCTCCCACCGACTTCAGCTTTCTGACAGTCAAACTCTCAGTCCATGACCTAAGCCGCTATCTCAACTTTTTCCATGTATTTTGCAAAAACCTGGTAGGCAGGAGACTGAGTGGTGGTGTTGGTGGGGCTCGGACTTTTTCCAAGTGTTTGAAAATGCAAGGCCTTGCCGACGCACATGCCGGGCCACTATAGGTTCTGCATGCCCCTCGTGTACTTGTAGGTCGGCACTTGTAGTCCGGTGACCTGGTTGGAGAAAGAGGGGCGCGCCATCATGCCCTGGGAGAGGACGTGCGCGGCATCGATGCCCTGCGACACATCGGCCGCGTTCACCTGGTGCATCACCGTGGCGCCGGGCGACGCCTGGCGGATGGAGCCCGGCATCGCCTGGAAGCCGGCGGCGGCGGCGTGGGCATGGGTGGCGTGGGCATGGGCGGCGTGAGCGTGGGCGGTGTGGGCTCCCTGGGGCTGCACTGGCAGGAGCCACCAGGGGTTGGAGCGCACGGGCACCATCTGGGACGGCGGGTAGTACGGCGTGCGGGCCTGCGCTTGTGACAACGTCGTCATAAAGTATCCAGAGGTGGTCGCCGGCTGATACTGCCCGATGATGGTGGTGCTCGGCGCCACCATGCGCACGCCACCCACGTGCTGCACGTACTGCGAGGACGACAGCTCCACCTTGCGCTCCACCTTGTGCTGCGCCAGCGTCACGTACATAGGCTTGGAGCCGACGATGCGGCCGTCCATCTCCGACATGGCCTTGATGGCCTCCTCGGGCGTGGAGAAGCACACGAAGCCGCAGCCCTTGGACTCCCCCGTCTTGTTCACCATCACCTTGGCGCTCGTGATGGTGCCGAACGACGAGAACTCCTTGCGCAGCCTCTCGTCGTTGATGTTGCCATCCAGGTTCTTCACGTACAGGTTCACGCCCTGGAACTTGTTCTTGCCGTCCTGCTTGGGCACCTCGTACTCCCCGTTGAGCTCCATCTCGCCCTCCGACCTCCTGTGCCCGCTGCCCGCGTAGAACTCGTGCTCGTTCAGGTGGGGGACTCGGTGCTGGAGGTTGCGATCAGCCTTGAGCTGCGCCAGGGTGACGTAGAGCGGCTTGGAACCAATGATGCGGCCGTCCATCTCCATCATGGCCTTGGTGGCCTCCTCGACGGTGGAGAAGCACACGAAGCCGCATCCTTTCGACTCGCCGCTTCTGTTCACCATCACCTTGGAGCTCGTGATGTTGCCGAACGGCGAGAACTCCTTGCGCAGCCTCTCGTCGTTGATGCCTTCGTCCAGGTTCTTCACGTACAGGTTCACGCCCTGGAACTTGTTCCTGCGGTCCTGCTTGAGCGACTCAAACTGTCGCTCCAGCTCCAGCTCCTCCGCCGACTTGTGAAGATGGCCCACGCAGATCGCCCGCCCGTTGAGGTGAGGCAAGTGGAGGTTGCGCTCCGTCCTGAGCTGGGCCAGCGCCACGTAAAGCTGCTTGGATCCGAGCGCCTGCCCGTCCATCTCCATCATGGCCCTGGAGGCCTCGTCGTGCGACGAGAAGCACACGAAGCCAAACCCCTTGGACTCGCCGCTCCTGTTCACCATCACCTTGGCACTGGTGATGGTGCCAAAGGGGGAGAACTCCTTCCACAGCCGCTCATCGTTGACGTTGGGGTCCAGGTTGTTGACGTAGAGGTTGACGCCCTGGAACTTGCTCGTGCACTTGTGCCTGAGCACGTCATGGCCGCCGAGCTCCATCTCGAGCACCGCCTTTTTGTGCATGCTACCCACGTGGAACGCATGCTCACTGAGGTGAGTCGCCAGCTGCTGCATCCTGCGCTCCCCTTTCAGCTGCGCCAGCGTCACGTACATGGGCTTGGAGCCGACGATGCGGCCGTCCATCTCCGACATGGCCTTGATGGCCTCCTCGGGCGTGGAGAAGCACACGAAGCCGCAGCCCTTGGACTCCCCCGTCTTGTTCACCATCACCTTGGCGCTCGTGATGGTGCCGAACGGCGAGAACTCCTTGCGCAGCCTCTCGTCGTTGATGTTGCTGTCCAGGTTCTTCACGTACAGGTTCACGCCCTGGAACTTGTTCTTGCCGTCCTGCTTGGGTACCTCATACTCCCCGTTGAGCTCCATCTCGCTCTCCGACCTCCTGTGCCCGCTGCCCGCGTAGAACCCGTGCTTGTTCAGGTGAGAGGCCAGGTTCTGGAGGTTACGCTCAGCCTTCAGCTGGGCCAGCGCCACGTACATCGGCTTCGAGCCCACAACCTTCCCGTCCATCTCCGTCATGGCCTTGATGGCCTCCTCGGGCATGGAGAAGCACACGAAGCCGCAGCCTTTCGACTCGCCGCCCCTGTTCACCATCACCTTGGCACTCGTGATGTTGCCGTACGGCGCAAACTCCTTGCGCAGCCTCTCGTCGTTGATGCACTCGTCCAGGTTCTTCACGTACAGGTTCACGCCCAGGTACTTGCTCCTGCGCTCCTGCTTGAGCATCTCGAACTGTCGCTCCAGCTTGGCCACCGCCACCGCCTCACCCTCGGCCGCAGCCTTGGAGGCACGGGCCCCGTACATGACCCGGCTCCCGTTAAGCTCCTTCGCCTTGGCGTTCATCGCATCGAGGGCCTTCTGCGCCTCCTCGTGGCCCTCGTAGCTGCCAAAACCAAAGGACTTGTCCCCCTCTTCCATTGGCACGTCACACAAGCGGGCTCCGTGGCTGACTGTGGCACGTCCGTCAGTGAACAAATCAGGCAGGCCAATAGGATGTCTTCTGACAGGCTGGTGAATAAACGGCGACTGGATGGCTATATGTCTGTCTGGCTGGTCATTCAGGTTACGAAGAGACAGACCAATCAATTAATGTAGCTCAACAGACTCACTTTCAGGTGGTACGGAGTGGTTATCTGGCAGAAAAACTGTACAACAGGCAGGCCAATTGCTGGTCTGGGTGTTAAGCTGGCAAGGCAGTCCAGCAGCAGCACAACAGGTCGCCCAAACTGAAAATGTCTGGCTGTCCAAGCAGTTGGCTTGCTTGGCGTCTCAGTGGCAATGAGTGGTACAGTCCAGTAACTGGGCTGGTAGGCAGGCAGGATTAACACGTTCCACGGACAGGGTGTCTGTGTTTGCTGGCAGCCAGTCCGAACCACACTCTTTGGGCTATCTATGCGTGTGAATGGCTGCTCGTGAGGCAGTCCCAACAACAACACGGGGTGTCTGTGAAGCAGCCGGGCAGTACAACAGCAACAAGTGACTGGCAGGAAAGGCGGGCAAAGCGGTCCGTCCAACAGGTTGTCTGGCGGGCAGGCAGACACGCAGATAGGTAAGGCAGGCAGGCACACAGACAGGTAAGGCAGGAAAGGCAGGCAGGGGGGGCCGACACTAAGTTGGCCGGTCCACTGGCCGTGTGTCCAGCGCTGGGCCAGCTGTTGTCGTGGAGGCGGTGGGAGAGGAGGGCGATGTTGTTGTTGACGCTGGGAGAGGAGGGCGATGTTGTTGCTGACGTTGGGAGAGGAGGGCGATGATGTTGTTAACGTTGGGAGGACGATGTTGTTGTTGACGTTGGGATAGCGATGTTGTTGTTGACGTTGGGAGAGGAGGGCGATGTTGTTGTTGACGTTGGGAGAGGAGGGCGATGTTGTTGACGTTGGGAGGGCGATGTTGTTGTTGACGTTGGGTGGGCGATGTTGTTGACGTTGGGAGAGGAGGGCGATGTTGTTGTTGACGTTGGGATAGCGATGTTGTTGTTGACGTTGGGAGAGGAGGGCGATGTTGTTGTTGACGTTGGGAGAGGAGGGCGATGTTGTTGACGTTGGGAGGGCGATGTTGTTGTTGACGTTGGGTGGGCGATGTTGTTGACGTTGGGAGAGGAGGGCGATGTTGTTGTTGACGTTGGGAGAGGAGGGCGATGTTGTTGACGTTGGGAGGGCGATGTTGTTGTTGACGTTGGGAGAGGGCGATGTTGTTGACGTTGGGTGGGCGATGTTGTTGACGTTGGGAGAGGAGGGCGATGTTGTTGTTGACGTTGGGAGAGGAGGGCGATGTTGTTGTTGACGTTGGGAGGGCGATGGTGTTGTTGACGCTGGGGGAGGGCGATGTTGTTGTTGACGTTGGGAGGGCGATGTTGTTGTTGAGGTTGGGAGAGGAGGGCGATGTTGTTGTTGACGCTGGGAGAAGAGGGCGATGTTGTTGACGTTGGGAGGGCGATGTTGTTGTCGACGCTGGGAGAGGGCGATGTTGTTGTTGACGTTGTAAGCTCGGCGCAGCGAGAAGAGACCGCGGATTTGCCAACGGTCGTGGTTGGGTGTCGCCTCGTCGTGCAAGACGAGACGACACGTGACTTGGCGTAACTTGAAAAGAAGAAGACAATTAAAAAAACAGTCGGGCGCGTACGACCACCACGCGCCGTTTGGAGTGTCCTGGGGTGGCCCAATGGTGAAGATAATGACGATTAGCGGTGGAGGTGGTGGTGATGATGGCGAAAAGATGTAGAAGACTCAAACTACCGGACCCCCGCCGTGTGCGGGTGAATGCGAACCCCTTGGCACACAACACGGCAACAAGAAAGTGGGGAGAGTCGAGAGGCCGCTGGGGGTTTTGTTTTATGTCGGGGCCGCCGCGGCCTCTCGCCGTCGCAACTCGGGGCAGGAAGCGACTCCCGGCTGCTAAATATCTCGCGGCCGCGCGCACCGCGCATGCGCAGGGCGCGTCACCAGCACGCCGGCTCAGAGAGAGTCGAGAGGAGCGCATTGAGTTTAGTGCGAAATGTTTAGTTTCATATTTTTATTATCGCTACTTTTATCTTTTCCGGTTTTTTTTGCTCAACGCAGAAGCGTAGGGCGATTTTTGTTACATTTTCTTTTTGCTTTTTTTACCCACAGTCGGTGTTTTATCTATTTTGTTATCCTGCTTAGAATAGTTTGGGATTGATTTCAAATATTTTTTTTTCACAAGTACCACCTCTACACGACCCCGTGCTACGGGAGTTGTAACGAATTATATTCGTTGATACTGCTGCTGTCGCGTTGCCGGTGGCGCACAAAATAACAAACCGAAAATATAACTCCACACTTTCGTCCAATAACATTGGCTTTAAAAAAAAAGGTAGCGACGTTTCGCTCAGTGGGCCTTATTCGTGCCATCAAGCGCAGGCAAAACGCGCTCATCTCCCGAGACGCATGGGAAGGTGGAGAAAGAAACACGAGCCGCAGGCGTGTGATTGTGACCGTGCAAACACGCCTTGGGGTTGTAGTAGTGGTCCTCTGCACACTCATTGGGGATAGCGAAACAACACGGAACTCGCTCGCTCTCTCTCCCCATCGACTCGACACCCCTTAACGGAGAATAAATCGCACGTGGAAATGCGACAGAACATCCTCCCCGTTGGTTCTCTCCGAAACGATGAACGCGCTGAACTTCTTTCGCCACCGCACGTAGCCCCAAGCGTGCCCCGCAAAGCTCTCCCTTCGCGAGCACATTGCCCGAAACGTCTCCTGCCGTGTGTGCACACATGCTTACAGCCACACGTGTGTGCGTGGCTGGGGAGCGGTGGTGCAGCGGTTAGCGCTACGCTGCGCTATGAACCTGGACGACCCGGGTTCGATTCCCGCTCGCGATTATCTGAACCGGTCCTGGGCCTCTCCCTAGGTTGACTCAGCCTCAAATGAGTACCCGGTGCGGTGTGTAGTAAACATTTCCACTGGGGAGACAAAGGCGGCCGGGCGTGGTTCTGGCCACGCAACCCCCTCGTGTGCCGTTCCGGCCTTCATAGGTGCTGCTCGCTAACAGCACTTGCCCCTACAGTCTGTTAAGGCTACACGGGGGACCTTTGTCTTTGTGCACCACCGCCAACGCAGCAACAGATGAGCCGAGCGACAGTCGAGAACTTCTGGCGGCCATATTACTCGGGGAGACTCTCCACCCCCACCGGTGCGGTGTGAAGGCCCTGAAACTAAAACACAAACAGGGTGGCAGAGAGCTACCACCACACCCCGCCCCTAGGTAAGATGGCCACAGACGACTTCACCTCCTCCCCACCAACAACATTCACCACCCCCACACCCCCTTTACACCCCACTCCGCAGCACGTGGAGCTATCGGCACGGCATGGCCGCGTCCACCGAGCCGCCGCCGGTTGCCTGCGGCGCTCCGTGCCTCAAGGAGCTCACGGCGCCCGACTACGGGCGGCCGCCTGCCGCGCAGAGGCGCGCCCTGCAGGAGCTCGTCAAGGCCCACGTCGAGTCGTTCGACTACGTCCTGCACGAGGGTCTCTCGCAGGCGGTGCAGGTGAGGCGTGGGGTGGGTGGGGAGGTTTAGCCAGGGGTGGTGGCGGTGGCCTGAGAGGGGCCAACGAACCCTCCCATCGCCACCACAGAAAAACCACGCAAGCCTCATCGGCAGTGAGGCCTTACTAAAATAATAGCGGCACCTCATCGTGGGTGAGGGCCTTACTAAAATAATAGCGACACCTCATCGGGGGTGAGGGCCTTACTAAAATAATAGCGGCACCTCATCGGCGGTGTGGCCTTACTAAAATAATAGCGGCACCTCATCGTCGGTGAGGGCCTTACTAAAATAATAGCGGCACCTCATCGGGGGTGAGGGCCTTACTAAAATAATAGCGGCACCTCATCGGTGGTGAGGCCTTACAAAAATAATAGCGGCACCTCATCGGCGGTGAGGGCCTTACTAAAATAATAGCGGCACCTCATCGGCGGTGGTGAGGCCTTACTAAAATAATAGCGGCACCTCATCGGCGGTGAGGGCCTTACTAAAATAATAGCGGCACCTCATCGGCGGTGGTGAGGCCTTACTAAAATAATAGCGGCACCTCATCGGCGGTGAGGGCCTTACTAAAATAATAGCGGCACCTCATCGGTGGTGGTGAGGCCTTACTAAAATAATAGCGGCACCTCATCGGTGGTGGTGAGGGCTTACTAAAATAATAGCGGCACCTCATCGGCGGTGAGGCCTTACTAAAATAATAGCGGCACCTCACCGGCGGTGAGGCCTTACTAAAATAATAGCGGCACCTCATCGGCGGTGAAGGCCTTACTAAAATAATAGCGGCACCTCATCGGCGGTGAGGCCTTACTAAAATAATAGCGGCACCTCATCGGCGGTGAGGCCTTACTAAAATAATAGTGGCACCTCATCGGCGGTGAGGGCCTTACTAAAATAATAGCGGAACCTCATCGGTGGTGAGACCTTACTAAAATAATAGCGGCACCTCATCGGCGGTGAGGGCCTTACTAAAATAATAGCGGCACCTCATCGGCGGTGAGGGCCTTACTAACATAATAGCGGCACCTCATCGGTGGTGAGGCCTTACTAAAATAATAGCGGCACCTCATCGGCGGTGAGGCCTTACTAAAATAATACCGGCACCTCATCGGCGGTGAGGCCTTACTAAAATAATAGCGGCACCTCATCGGTGGTGAGGCCTTACTAAAATAATAGCGGCACCTCATCGGCGGTGAGGCCTTACTAAAATAATACCGGCACCTCATCGGTGGTGAGGCCTTACTAAAATAATAGCGGCACCTCATCGGCGGTGGTGAGGCCTTACTAAAATAATAGCGGCACCTTATCGGTGGTGAGGCCTTACTAAAATAATAGCGGCACCTCATCGGCGGTGAGGGCCTTACTAAAATAATAATCGGCGGTGACGACCCAGGTGTGGTGGACGTTCCACACTGCCGCGGAAAGCTGCCGATGTTAATGCACCCTGTCCTCAATGTAACATGAAGCACGCCATTCCCTGTGTAATTTAGCATTATTGCGGCATACCCGGTAAAAATGAATAATCGTGTAATTATTAATCGTGTGTAGGCACGACAATGAATTCGTTTTTTTATTCATGCGTTGCGCGAGGAGCGGTGGCGCAGCGGTTAGCGCACTGCCGTATGAGCCCCGGCCAGGCCGAGTTCAGTTGCCGGGCACGGATCTCGGAATCTTGAGCAGAGTTGAGACGGGAAAGTTATTGGATGGGCGTCCGGCATGCATACCGGTCCACCTGTGAAAATAAAGCTTCATAGCTCATCGGATTCCTCCAGTATAAATAAAAAAAATTCTGATTCCGGTGTGTTGTTGAGGATCTACGTTACCAGCAGAAGAAAGTGCAGTCAAAGACATTGTTGTACAATACCATACTTCTGGCTCCAACGTCTATGATTTCTGCCTTCACAAACCCGCACTAGCCAGCATGGTGAAGTATGGTCAAACAGCCCCCCACGATGTAAGCGTGGGTGAGCCGTCTTAACACCTGTCGTACTAGATTGATAAAGGACTGTAAATTACCGCATTACTTCATATACCTAGCTCTGCAGCCCCGAGAGAGCTGCTACATTTATCGCAACGTGGCTCAGAATCACTCCATGCTTATTCTTTCCTCTCTTGAGCTGGACTGGCCGTTCATATAGGTAATCCACTACCGATTATAATTATTAGTACAGATACGTGACCGGTCATATGATGTGAAAAGAGTGGTGGGGGGAGGGACTCGCCTCTGTTTCCACGTGTGCTGCTCTACGTGAGGTAATTAGAAGGGCTTGGTGACATCATTAACATTGTGAGCAGCATCGCGCTGGGTGTGGCTTGTAGGGGGTTTCCCTCCTTC